CTTTTTGGAGGAAGATCACTGAGCAACATTTAATTAAATTAGAAAATCAGTTAAATTTAAGCCATGAATCCATTTGTTTTCAGAAATGCTCCTCATTACCACCAACCCATATGACTACCCTTTTGTGAGTCAAGGTGAGATCACTGTTCCCAGCATTGATGACAAGGAGGAGCTGATGGCTACAGATGTAAGTAAATGACAGATCAACAGGCACAGGTTATACATCACATAACATGCAAATATTTCACTTTGTTGATTGTGTTACCAGAGTGCCATTGACATCCTGGGCTTCACTGCTGATGAAAAGACTGCCATCTACAAGCTGACAGGGGCTGTCATGCACTATGGGAACTTGAAGTTCAAGCAGAAACCAAGAGAGGAACAGGCAGAGCCCGATGGCACAGAAGGTATTATCAGACTCAATAATTAACCCTTCCCTAAGCTACTATGGATGTGGAAGACAGCAAAAGTTGTTCTTTGTTGGTTTTCAGGATCCTAAGGAAAACAGTAAACCAGTAAAAATCTGCCCCTTGTCCTGTTCTCAGTACATCAAGTTTCTTCGTTCTTGAATCTTACGCTATGAACAATTAATATTTTAAACTGTACTTTATATACTCCTGGCAAGTTGGGAGAAATGGATCTCTTTCTTGTAACATTAGTAGTTGTACTTTTGTTGGAATATGTCCTGCAGTTGTGAAACTGCCAAGTGGTTCAGCTTTTTAACAGGATGGGGGTCATTCACCTTCACCTGTCAGATACTTGGGGAACTCTGGTGTGAGAGGAGTATTTGATTCCTCTTCTTTGTTTGTGTAGCACCTACAATCCACATCCCCAGCTCTCCAAGCAATGGCTCCTCTTGCTAAAGGACTAGGCAGAAGGTGAAAAGTACCATAGGTAAAAGGATGAAACCCAGTGAGTTTTACTCAACATCAGAAACCAAAGCTCAGAAAGAGTTTTAGACTATGAATCTGAAAGAGAAGAGAGGTATCCTTTCTGTGTTTTACCCTAAATATTTGGTGGTTTTGGTCACCCGAATGTAGATCAGTAGCTGACTTGTCACTGCAGCTCCTGAGTTACGCATGTACTAAAAATAGTAAGACTGCAAGCTGCAGCTTTCAACTTTGTGCCAGGAGAGTTTTGAAAACATCATTACTTTCTACATGCTTTAGGGAAGATTTTCAAACATAAATTCTTGCAGAAAATATGCATAATGATGACGTTGAGATTACCAGGATTCCGTCTATGAAAGTCTTTTTAAAGATACTCCAAGATTCAAAGTCTATGTGACACTAAGTTCTTCCATTTTCCTCTATACTTTCAGTTGCTGACAAGGCTGCCTACCTGATGGGTCTGAATTCAGCTGACATGCTCAAGGCACTGTGCTACCCCCGAGTCAAGGTTGGCAATGAGTATGTGACCAAAGGTCAAACTGCACAGCAGGTAAGAAACCTGTGATAACCTGGAAATATGTTTTGCATTAAGAATTTTGATTTTCCTCTGCTCTGTATTGTAACTCCAGACATCTATTATTCCTATAGGTGCACAATGCTGTAGGTGCTCTAGCAAAGGCTGTCTATGAGAGAATGTTCCTGTGGATGGTTGTTCGTATCAACCAACAGCTGGATACAAAGCAGCCCAGACAGTACTTCATTGGTGTCCTGGATATTGCTGGCTTTGAGATCTTTGATGTAAGTAACAAAGATTTGGTAAGAGCAGTGACAACTGGATGTTATGATCACTCTGAGACATACTTTTGAAGATTGAATATGATCACATAATTATTAGCAGCTATTTGCCTTTTTTGTCATGAAGCAAAAAATGACTTTTCAAAGGACTTGTCTTATTTCAAGATGTGCAAACTCAAAAGTACAGAATGGTGCAATCAGAAAAATTCATTGATTTAAATGATCGAAGACAAGACAGTATAAAAACATGTATATCATGACAGGCTTAAGCTTGTGTTTTTTCTCTCTGTAACTTTGTTTCAGATTATACAGGAAATCTATTTTATCTTCACATTTTTATCAATGAAAAAAAATCCTTGTGGGAAATTAATTTGATGCATTTTGCTGTTGCATTACATAGACATAAAGCAGACTGAAGAAATGCACAGTCTTGACAATGAAGCCAAGATAATTGCAGTGTTTATTTTTAAATGATGAAGTTTTTCAATTATTGCTGCATCTGGCTAATATTAATGTTTCTTATTTTATTTTCAGTTTAACAGCTTTGAGCAGCTGTGCATCAACTTCACCAATGAGAAACTGCAACAATTCTTCAACCACCACATGTTCGTGCTGGAGCAGGAGGAGTACAAAAAGGAAGGAATTGAATGGTCATTCATTTACTTTGGGATTGACCTGGCTTCCTGCATTGAGCTCATTGAGAAGGTATCATTCCTGTTCAAGTGTATTAGTATGTGGAAATGTTATAATTACTTGATCTCATTTATTAAAGGAATTACAGAATCATAGAATGGTTTGGGTTGGAAGGGACCTTAAAGACCATCTAGTTCCAACCCCCCTACCATGGGCAGGGACACCTTCCACTAGACCAGGTTGCTCAAAACCTCATCCAGCCTAGCCTTGAAGACATCCAGGGATGGGGCATCCACAGCTTCTCTGGGCAATCTGTTCCAGTGCCTCCCCACCCTCTCTGGGAAGAATTTCTTCATTATGACCAATCTAAATCTACTCTCTTTCCATTTAAACCCATTACCCCTTGTCCTGTCACTACAGGCCCTTGTAAAAGTTTCCTCTCCAGGTTTCTTCTTGGCCACTTCAGGTACTGGAAGGTGCTATAAGGGGTCCCTGGAGACTCCTCCAGGCTGAACCACACCCTCTGATCATCTTCATGGCCCTCTTCTAGACTTGCTCCAATATGTCAATGTCCTTCTTATGTTAGGGGCCCCAGAGATAGATGCAGTACTGCAGGTGGGGTCTCATGAGAGCAGAGCAGAGGAGGAGAATCATAGAATCATGTAATTGTTTTGGTTGGAACAGACCTTTAAGATCATTGAGTCCAACCATCAACCCAGCACTGCTAAGTCTGCCCTAAACCATGTCCCTAAGCAGTACATCAACTTGTATCTTAAATACCTCTAGGGATGGTGACTCCACCACTTCCCTGAACAACCTGTTCCAATTAGTGACCACCCTTTTTGATGAAGAATTTTTTCATAATATCCAATCTGAACCTCTCCCAGCATAACTTGAGGCCATTTCCTCTTGTCCTATTTCTTATAACTTGAGAGAAGAGACCAACCTCCACCTCTCTACAACCACCTTTCAGGTAGTTGTAGGGAGCCATAACGTCTCCCCTGAGCCTCCTTTTCTCCAGACTAAAAAATCCAAGCTCCCACAGCTGCTCCTCATAAGACACGTGCTCTAGATCCTTCACCATCTTTGTTGCCTTTCTCTGGACACTCTCCAGCACCTCAATGTCCATCCTGCAGTGAGAAGCCCAAAACTGAACACAATATTTGTGGTGCAGCCTCACCAGTGCCCAGTATAGGGGCATGATCTCTTCCTTAGTTCTGCTGGCCACAATTTTCCTAATGCAGGCCAGGATGCCATTGGCCTTCTTGGCCATCTGGGCACACTGCCAGCTCATGTTCAGCCAGCTGTCAATCAGCACCCCCAGGTCCTTCTTTCCTGGGCAGCTTTCAGCCACTCACCCCCAAGCCTGTAGTCCTGCTGGGGTTTGTTGTGACCTAAATGCAGGACCCTGCACTTGACATTATTGAACCTCATACAGTTGGCTTCTTCCCATCAATCCAGCCTGTCCAGATCCCTCTGAAGAGACTTCCTACCATCCAGCAGATCAACACTCCTGCCTAACTCTGTATGGTCTGCAAACTTACTGAGGGTGCAGTCGAACCCATTATCCAGGTCATTGATAAATATGTTGAGGAGAACTGACCCCAATCCTGAGCCCTGGGGAACACCACTTGTGACTGGATTTAACTCCATTCACTACAACTCTTTGGGCTCAGCTATCCAGCCAGTTTTTAACCCAGCAGAGCATGTACCCATCCAAGTCATGAGCTGCCAGCTTCTCTAGGGAATCATCTGCTTTGACCTGCTGGTCACACTTCTTTTGATGCAGCCCAGGATATGCTTGGCTTTCTGGGATGCAAGTACACATTGCTGGCTCATGCTGTGCTTCTCATTAACCAGCACCCCCAAGTCTTTTCCCTCAGGGCAGCTCTCAAACCGTTCTCCACCCAGCCTGTACATGTGCTGGGAGTGCCCTGACCCTTGTGCAGGACCTTACACTTGGCCTTGTTGAACTCCACGAGGTTGGCACAGGCCCACCTCTCCGGCCTGTCAAGATCCCTCTGGATGGCATCCTTTCTGTCCAGCGTGTCAACTGCACCACACAGCTTGGTGTTATCAGCAGACTTGCTGAGGGTGTACTCAATCTCACTGTCCATGTCACCAACAAAGATGCTGAACAATGCCGGTCCCAATACAGACCCCTGAGGGACTCTGCTCATCACTGGTCTCCACTCAGACACTGGCTCATTTATCACAACTCTCTGAGTGTGACCATCCATACAGTTCTTTATCCACCGAGTGGTCCATCTGTCAAATCCATGTCTCTCCAATTTAGAGACAAGGATATCATGTGAGACAGTGTGAAATGCTTTGCACAAGTCCAGGTAGATGATAGTTGCTCTTCCCTTATTCACCAATGCTGTAACCCCATTGCCAGGCATGATTTGCCCTAAGTGAAGCCATGTTGGCTGTCACCAATCACCTCCTTTTTTTCCATGTGCCTTAACATAGTTTCCAGGAGGAACTGCTCCATGATC